ACCGTATGCAGTTGCGAGCGCCGTAAAACCCTATACTAAACAAACAAACAGACCCAATATCTTAATTGTACAATGTATATCATTATAAGCTTACGTGTATACCTGTTTCTCAAAAGTACAATGTTGTACTCTCTGTTCCTTATTACATCATGACCTAGTATTACAATTTGTAAACATCACTGAATCGTTATCTCGTGAAGTTCACAGTGCAAGGAGCAAGAATTCAAAATACTAGGACAAAGACAGCTTCCTTACAGCCTACTATCTTGATTGTTGACCTAAAACAACATAGATAGAGAGAATCAATACAGAAAATGACCCTGGTATTATCATCTACAATATGCATTTAATATTGTTGACTTAGCAGCATACAGACTTTCATCCTTCGGTTCAATGACTTTTAAAGTGACGTGAGCAGGTTTTTCTTTTGCCGCTGTTTTGTTCGAAATGGTCCATTGCTGAGTATCTGGCCTTGGAAGGAGACATATCATCCTCTCGAGAACAATATAAAGAATGGATGAAAGTCTGAGGCGGGCGGATTTAACCTGGGTTAATGAATGTCTGTTTGGTTGTATTTGACTTGAAGATTGGCATATTATTAGTGCTTTAACTCTAGAGCATGCCTGTGCATAATTTTCTTCTTTCGTCATTTTATGTCACCGACGAAGTGACCGACTGGCTCGTCAAAGCTATGGCGTGCCGTATTAGCAGACTGTATAGGAACGTATGGAACAGGGGAGGCATCACCCTAGCGATCAAGCCCCAAATCTCAAGTAGAAGAGCAACTTGAGTAATATTAATAATAATAATATATAATAATATATAACATTTATAGAGCGCATTTCCAAAAAAAGTAGCTCAATGCGCTTTACATTGGAATACCCATTTTTCAAAAACCTTTCTTACTACTTCCTTTCTTCTCACGCAATATACATTAATGCACACACACACACACACATACACACACACACACACACACACACACACACACAAACACACACACACACACACACACACACACAGACTATTTTCATCCAGACATAGGAAAAGAACAAATATAATGAAAGCTAACGTTAAAAGCTTATGAAGGATAGGCCTGTAGGAACAGAAAATGTTTAAGATGTCTTTTGAAGCTATCAAGTGTTCTTATTTGTCTTAGTTTCATGGGTAATCTGTTCCACATAAATGGACCAAGATATGAGAAAGATCTCTCTCCATATGATTTGTATGATTTTACAGGTGTCACAAGTAGGGTGTTATCGTTCGATGATCTTAGGTTTCTCCCTGGTTTATATATACTGATAAGTTCTTGCAGATAAAAAGGAGCAGTTTTATTTACACATTTGAAACACATGACGCAGATTTTAAATATTATTCGTTCTTTTACAGGGAGCCAATGCAGTTCTTTTAATAATGGAGTGACATGGTCTCGTTTTTTAGATCTTGTTATCAGTCTAGCGGCATTGTTTTGAATTACTTGTAAACGATTCAAATATTTGTTGTTCAGACCTGCTAGGAGTGAGTTACAATAGTCTAATCTAGATAGGATAAGAGATGTTACCAGTGTTTTTGTGGTCTCTTCGCTTAAGTACTTTTGAACTAGGCCTATCCTTCTCAGCTGAAAATAAAGGGATTTGGACAGAGATCCTACAAACGAGCCCATTGATAAGTGGTGGTCAATATATACACCGAGATTCCTGACAACTTCTTTACTAGATGTCATATGCTATAACCTCCCCATATCTTCGCTCATTGCGACGATCACACCCCTCTGTTTTCTGTTCCTTTAGGACAGCTACTGCACCCCCGGTTTGACACCCATGGTGACATCATATGTTGCGCACTCATTCAAGCAGTTAGAAATATGGGGGTAAATAAAAAGTAAGTGTTCTAACGCCCCTATGTGCATGTGACAGCGAGGCGCCTAACCTCTACACTACAGAAGCTGGTAATTTAGTTTGTTTGGGGGAGGGGGGGGGGTAGGCCCTATACTTTACTTTAACAGGAGACTCACTGGCAAGTTTATCCTCATTACGCCCGCAGATCTCTACAATCCAATCTCTCTCAACAGCGATGGTGTTGGCAATGGAAGCCAGGTTGGCAGCGGAGGAGAAGATGATGATGAGGGCATAAGCCACGTACTCCACCCAGTCCCCATGCTCCAACAGGTCATCTTCGAACATGAGGTAGCAGTAGATGACTGCTGCACACGTGACCACAAGTGCGTTTTGCAGGACTAGGGACACCTGGGCGGCTGGGGGAGGCC